TAGACCCCAATACAATAGTACTGGGGGACTTCAATACCCCACTCTCAGAAATAGACAGATCAACCGGACAGAAGATCAACAAGGATACAGCATATTTAAATGACACTATAGCCCAAATGGATCTAACAGATATCTACAGAACTGTTCATCCTACACTTAAAGAATTTACATGCTTCTCAGCAGAACATGAAACCTTCTCTAGGATTGACTACGTCCTAGGCCATAAAGCAAGTCTCAGCAAATTCAAAAGAATTAAAATCATACGATGCAGCTTCTCAGATCCATAGTGGAATGAAGTTGGAAATTAGAAACTCTGGAATCCCTAGAGTAAATGCAAACACATGGAGATTGAACAACATGCTCCTGAATGAACACTGGTCATAGAAGAAATCAAAAGAGAAATCAAAAACTTCCTGGAAGTACATGAGGATAACAGCACGACATATCAAAACTTATGGGATACAGAAAAAGCAGTGTTAAAAGGAAAGTTTATATCAATAGGTGCCTACATCAAGAAATTGGAAAGGCACCAAATAAATGAGCTTTCAATGCATCTCAAGGATCTAGAAAAATGCAGCATACCAGACCCAAACCTAGTAGGAGAAGAGAAATAATTAAAATCAGAGAAGAAATCAACAGGATTGAATCCAAAAAAAAAAAAAAATTACAAAAAATCAGCTAAACGAGGAGCTGGTTTTTGTGAAACAAAAAAAATAAACAACATTGACACCCCATTGGCCCAACTAACTAAAAAAAGAAGAGAAAAGACCCAAATCAATAAAATCAGGGATGAAAAAGGAAACTTAACAACAGACACCACAGAAATAAAAAGAATCATCAGAAATTACAACAAGGACTTGTGTGTCAGCAAACAGGGAAATATATCAGAAATGGATAGATTCCTGGACACATGCAACCTACCTAAATTGAACCAGGAAGACATAGAAAACCTAAACAGACCCATAACTGAGACAGAAATTGAAACAGTATTAAAGGCCCTCCCAACAAAGAAAAGCCCAGGACAAGATGCATTCACTGCTGAATTCTACCAGACATTTAAAGAAGAACTGACTCCAATTCTTCTTAAACTATTCAGAACAATCGAAAAAGAGTGAATTCTCCCAATTCTTTCTATGAAGCCAGCATCACCTTAATTCCTAAGCCTGAAAAAGATGCAGCATTGAAAGAGAATTACAGACCGATATCCCTGATGAACATAGATGCAAAAATCCTCAATAAAATTCTCGCCAATAGAATGCAACAACACATCAGAAAGATCATCCACCCAGACCAAGTGGGATTTATCCCTGGTATGCAGGGATGGTTCAATGTTTGCAAATCAATCAATGTGATATACCACAATAACAGACTGCAGAAGAAAAAACATATGATTATCTCAATAGATGCAAAGAAAGTATTTGATAAAACATAACACCTTTTCATGATGAAAACTCTAAGCAAATTGTGTATAGAAGGAACATTCCTCAATAAAATTAAGGAAATTAATGAAAAACCCACTGCCAGCATCCTATTGAATGGGGAAAAGTTGGAAGCATTTCCACTGAGATCTGGCACCAGACAGGGATGCCCACTCTACCACTGCTATTCGATATAGTTCTGGAAGTTTTAGCCAGGGCTACTAGGCAAGAAAAAGAAATTAAAGGGATACAAATTGGGAAGGAAGAACTCAAACTATCCCTCTTTGAAGATGACATGATTCTTTACTTAGGGGACCCAAAGAACTCTACTGAAAGACTATTGGAACTCATAGAAGAGTTTCACAAAGAAGCAGGATATAAAATCAATGCACAAAAATCAACAGCCTTTGTATACACAGGAAATTCCACGGCTGAGAAAGAACTTCTAAGATCAATCCCATTCACAATAGCCACAAAAACAATCAAATATCTTGCAATAAACTTAACCAAGGATGTTAAAGATCTCTATGATGAGAATTACAAAATCTTAAAACAAAGAAATAGAAGAGGCTACCAAAAAAATGGAAAAATCTTCCATGGTCATGGATTGGAAGAATCAATATCATCAAAATGTCCATTCTCCCAAAAGCAATTTGTAGATTCAATTTGATACAAATCAAAATACCAAAAACATTCTTCTCAGCTCTGGAAAAAATGATGCTGAAATTCATATGGAGACACAGGGGACCTCGAATAGCTAAAGCAATCTTGTACAACAAAAACAAAGCCAGAGGCATCACAATACCAGATTTCAGGACATACAGGGCAGTTGTAATCAAAACAGCATGGTACTGGTACAGAAACAGATGGATAGACCACTGGAACAGAATAGAAACACCAGAAATCAATCCATACATCTACAGTCAACTTATAATTGATCAAAGATCCAAAACCATTTCCCTGGTGTAACGACAGTCTATTCATTAAATGGTGCTGGAAAAATTGGATTTCAGCACGCTGTAGCATGAAGCAAGACCCCTACCTTTCACCTTACACAAAAATCCACTCAACATGGATTAAAGTCCTAAATCTACGACCCGACACCATCAAATTATTAGAGAGCATTGGAGAAACCCTGCAAGATATAGGTACCGGCAAACACTTCTTGGAAAAGACCCTGGAATCACAGGCAGTCTAAACCAAAATTAATAATTGGGATTGCATCAAATTGAGAAGTTTCTGTACTTCAAAAGGTACAGTCAGAAAAGTGAAGAGGCAACTGACAGAATGGGAAAAATATTTCCAACCTATGCAACTGATAAAGGAATAATAAACAGCATCTACAAAGAAATCAAGAAACTCCACAATATCAAAACAAACAACCCACTCAAGAGATGGGACAACAACCTCAATAGACATTTTTCAAAAGAGGAAATCCAAAGTGTCAACAGACACAGGCAAAAAAAATGTTGAGGATCACAAGCAATCAGGGAAATGCAAATCAAAACCACAATGAGGTTTCACCTCACCCCAGTTAGAATGGCTCACATACAGAAATCTACCAACAACAGATGCTGGCGGGGATGTGGGGAAAAAGGGACACTAATCCATTGTTGGTGGGAATGCAAACTGGTAAAGCCACTATGGAAGTCAGTCTGGAGAGTCCTCAGAAACCTGAATATAACCCTACCATACAACCCAGCCATCCCACTCCTTGGAATTTACCCAAAGGAAATTAAATTGGCAAACAAACAAGCTGTCTGCATGTTAATGTTTATTGCAGCTCAAATCACAATAGCTAAGACCTGGAACCAACCCAAATTCCCATCAACAGTAGACTGGATAAAGAAATTATGGTACATGTACTCTATAGAATACTATACAGCAGTCAAAAACAATGAAATCTGGTCATTTGCAACAAAATGGAGGAATCTGGAACACATCATGCTGAGTTACATGAGCCATCCCAAAGGGAAAAATATCATATGTTCTCCCTGATCGGTGACAACTAACTCAGTACCAGAAAGGGTACCTGTTGAAGTGAAATGGACACTATGAGAAACACTGACATGATCAGCCCTTGTGCTGTTGATGTACAATTTAATACTTTATGCCTTTTAGTATTTTTTGTTCTACTTAATACTATTGGTTGAACTCTGTAATCAACACACAATTATTCTTAGGTGTTTAAATTTCACTGAAAAGTGATCTCTGTTAAATATAAGAGTGGGAATAATAGAGGGAGGAGATGTACAATTTGGGACATGCTCAATCGGACTTGCCCCAAATGGTGGAGTTAGAAATGTGCCAGGGGATTCCAATACAATCCCATCAAGGTGGCATGTACCAATGCCATCTCACTAGTCCAAGTGATCAATTTCAGTTCACAATTGATCACACTGGTAGGTCTAAGCGTCAAAGGGATCACATAATCAAGACTAGTTCTGCTAATACTATCTGATAGAATAAAAATGGTAGAGAATGATCCAACATGAGAAGTGGGATACACAGCAGACTCATAGAATGGCAGATGTCCTAAACAGCACTCTGGCCTCAGAATCAGCCCTTAAGGCATTCAGATCTGGCTTAAAACCCCATCAGAATATTTCAATCATGGAAAGCCAAGACACTCTGGCTAAAAAAAAAAAAAAAAAAAAAAAAAAAAAAAACTAAATGAAAGATCTCTGCGAGTGAGATCCCAATAGAAAGAACAGGCTATCAAAGAAGGAGGTACCTTTCTCTGAAGGGAGGAGAGAACTTCCACTTTGACTATTTGACTATGACCTCGTCGAAATAAGATCAAAGCCGGCGAACTCAAACAGCTTTCATAGCCTTGGCAACCCATGACAAGAGCCTAGGGTGATTACTGACACCATAAACAAGAGTGACAATTTGTTAGGTCAACACCAGGAGTCACTGTGTACTTACACCTCATGTAGGATCTCTGTCCTTCATGTGTTGTTCAATGTGAATTAATGCTATAACTAGTACTCAAATAGCATTTTACACTTTATGTTCTGTGTGGGTGCAAACTGATGAAATCTTTACAAAATATATACTAAATTGATCTCCTGTATATAAAGATAATTGAAAATGAATCTTGATTTTAATGGAATGGGAGGGGGAGCAGGAGATGGGAGAGTTGTGAGTGGGAGGGAATTTATGGGGGTGGGGAGCCATTGTAATCCATAAACTGTAATTTGGAAATTTATATTTACTAAATAAAAGTTAAAAAACAAACTGATAAACCAGCTCAGGAGAGTCACAAGCTAAAAAAATCAACATACAAGTATCTGTAACATTCTACACTGCAATCTGTGAAACTTTGGTTTAAATTTTTGTTAAGCAAACTTATAGGAAGCATATACTGCTGTAGTATTAATGAGTTGTGATTACTTGAAAATTTATTAGTGAAGTTGAACAATTTCTCATTTGATTAGCTTATAGTTCTTGCCTATTTTTCTGGCATACTATGGTCTTTTTACTTTTTATTTGTTAAATCTTTTATTTAGTAGAGCTACGAGCTTTTGTTAGTAATGTAAATTAAAAATATGTTATGTCAAAAATGTATAAAAGGGGAGATCCTGGGCAAGCGAAATGGAGGGGTATGTGTCTAACCTAATGGTCTGCAACCTGGCCTACAGCGGGAAGCTGGAGGAGCTGAGGGAGAGCATCCTGGCCGATAAATCCCTGGCTACCAGAACTGACCAGGACAGCAGAACCGCATTGCATTGGGCATGCTCAGCTGGACATACAGAAATTGTTGAATTCTTGCTGCAACTTGGAGTGCCAGTGAATGATAAAGACGATGCAGGTTGGTCTCCTCTTCACATCGCTGCTTCTGCCAGCCGGGATGAGATTGTAAAAGCGCTTCTGGGGAAGGGTGCTCAAGTGAACGCTGTCAATCAAAATGGCTGCACTCCCCTACATTACGCAGCTTCCAAAAATACGCACGAGATTGCTGTCCTGCTACTGGAAGGCGGTGCTAATCCAGACGCTAAGGACCATTACGAGGCTACATCAATGCACCGAGCAGCAGCCAAGGGTAACTTGAAGATGATTCATACCCTTCTGCACTACAAAGCATCCACAAACATGCAAGACACTGAGGGCAACACTCCTCTACACTTAGCCTGTGATGAGGAGAGAGTGGAAGAGGCAAAACTGCTGGTGTCCCAAGGAGCAAGTATTTACATAGAAAATAAAGAAGAAAAGACACCCCTGCAAGTGGCCAAGGGTGGCCTGGGTTTAATCCTCAAGAGAATGGTGGAAGATTAAACAGCTTGAGTTTATCCTTACTTTATGTTTTCTCTGTTGTCCCCCAATGTCCTGGAAGCTGATATACTTGTGCAACAGGTACCCACTATGAATCGTGACTTTTTTCACCTTCAAAGTCTTACAAACATGTTGCTAATATTCCTGCTGAGGTACCTGTTCTAAATTTACAACTTGGCTTTCTAGGCATAGCTGTCAAGATTGTTCTACTGTTGTTGTATATTAGTCTGTATTGAATATTGGTTTATTTGGAATAAGTGATTCTGTGTCTGCTGCGAGTCTTCAGCACTCTCCCATGCACTTTCCATCCCCCTGGGAAGCAGAAGAATCCCAGTAGCAGCAGGCCCATCGTCCTGCCATATGGTTCTAGGTAGATTCTCTATGTTCCTCCATACACTTGAAACACATCCTAACTTGTTTCTCAAGTTCACTCAGAGGCCTATGCCAAATGTTTCTGATTGCTGGATTTTTCTTTCAATTATAAGGTTTAATTTATTTTTGTTATAGGAGGAATATATATATGAGTGGACCAAATTTTAAGCTGGAGGACATGCTCTGAAGTAATGGAAAGTAATAGCCTGTGGACCATGTATCTTACTGATGACTTGCTTCCTCTCTAAAACAAAACATTGTTTTTGAAAATGAAGCGTTGAAGTTACTTATATTCAGTCAACCTATATTGAAAAGAATGTTAAGCTTGCTAAAATGATATGTAACAAAAATGCATTTTGATTTGTATTAAAGAAACTAAAAAACAAAAAAAATGTATAAAAAATGAAATTTCATTCATGACAGCTTCCAAAAATCAAATATTTTGAATACATTAGCCACAGAAGTGAAAGATCTCCACAATGAAAATGATAAAACCGTGAAAAAAAATTAAAGACCCAACAAATAGAAAAATCTACCCCATTCATGGATTGAAAGAATTATTTTATTAAGATATCTATACTACCAAATTAATCTACAGATCCAATGCAATTTTAGTCAAAATACAAATGATATTAATTACAGAATTAGAAAAATATCCTAAAATTCATATGGAATACCAAAAGGCCCAGAATCCAGAGTAACCAGAGTGATCCTAAGGGAAAAAAAAGAATGAATGAATGAATGAATGAAGAAAGAAAGAAAGAAAGAAAGAAAGAAAGCTGAAATCATAACAATACCCGATTTCCAAACACACTACAAAGCTATAAAAATCAAAACAACACAATACTAACATAAAAACTGACATATTGACAAATGGAATGGAATTTTAAAAACTCATAAAATAGTCCATGCAAAAACAAGAGGTTGTATGTGATTTTTTTTGCCTTTTTTTGTACCAATCTACCAACAGCATACACTGTAGAAAAGATAGTCTTTTCTTTTTTTTTCTTTTTTTTTTATTTGAAAGGTAGTGTTGTAGTGAGAGAGAGAGACAGAGAGAAAGGTCTTCCCTCCATTGGTTCACTGCCCAAATAGCTGCCCTGGCCATCACTGGGCAGATCCAGAGCCAGGAGCCAGACCCAAATGTAAGACCTGAAACTGAAGTTGTTGAAGAAAACATAGGGGAAACCCTGATTTAATGGTTTCTTGGGTAAGGTCCCAAAAGCATAGGCAACAAAAACAAGATGGGACATGTGAAACCCAGACACTTCTGTATAGCAAAGGAAACAATAAATTACTAATAGAGTAAAAACACATCTGACAGAACAGGAGAAATGTTTTCAAGCTACTTTTTTGACAAAAGATTGATATACAGAATATATTAGCAACTCAAAAAATCAGCAACAAAAACAGAAAACAACAACAAAGAAGCCAGTCCAGTTAAGAAATAGGCAAAGGACCTGAATAGAGAGTTCTCAACAGAAGAAATACCAGTGACCAACAACTAAATGAGCAGGGAAAAGTAAATCAAACTGTTATGAGACAGCACTTACACCTCATAGAATGGCTATTATCAAAATGATATAAAATTTTAGTTGAATCAGTGCTTAGAAATAAATATATAGCTATACATACATGTGTTAGAAATAAAAGAAATTTTTGAAATATTTGACATAAGAATCCACCATCAGATACTAGAAAAAGAACAATGAATTAAATTAAGTAAAAGCAAGGAGTAATAGAAGTGAAAGCAGATGTTAAGGACATAGAAATTTTAAACAATAGACAATAGCAAAACCATTTTTTTTACAATAACCTATGGATGGACTGCTCATGAACAAAGAAGCCAAATTACCAATATCAGGAAAGCAGAAGGCAACATCACTGAAGATTTAGAGATATTAAAAGATAATGGGATAATATTATTATCAAGTTTTTGCTGAGAAATTTGACAATATAGGTAAAATGAATATGCTAGATGAATTATACAGTGCATCAAAGTGGACACAGATGAAACTGAATATCTTAATAGTTATATATCTATTAATGAGATTGAACTTTTTATAATTCAGAAAGTGAAGGGAACCAGACTCATTGCAGCCAAATTTTGATAAAGTCTGGACAGAGTAATAACAAATATTCCTTGTGAGCATAGAAGAAAATATTGAAAATATTAATAAATTAAGTCTAACAATACATAAAAAGATAAGGAGCTTCTGTTCTTGGAATATGAAGTTTTGTTTAACATTAGAAAAAACTAATATATCTTTCCAGTTAATAGGATAGAAGAGAAAAAAATGACTGTCGCTAGAGCAGATAAACCATTGACAGAAGTCAACATTCCTTCAGGATAAAATTTCTTAACAAACTTGAAATAGGAAGTAACTTCTTCAACTTGACAAGAGGCAACTATGTAAAATCTACAGCTTGCGCCCTACTAAGTGGTACAAATTTGAGCATTCCCCTCCGCTAAGACTAAGACAGGGCAAGGATGCCTCCTTTCACTGATTTTATTCAACATCAGCCAGAATTCCTTTTATAAAAGTGATTTATTCATTTGCTATTCATTTATTATTAATTTGAAAGAAAGTGGCAGAACAGAGGAGAGAGGAGAGAGAGGGGAGAGAGATCTTCCATCGACTGCTTTACTCGCCAAATGCCTGATGCAACAGCCAGGGCTGGGCAAGGCAGAATCCATGCCAGGAACTTCATCTAGGTCTCCCACATGAGTGTCACAGGCCCAAGTAATTGAGCCATCATCTGCTGCTTTCCCTGGTGCGTTAGCAGGGAGCTGGATTGGAAGTGGAGCAGCTGAGACTTGAACTGGTATTACAAAATAGGATGTCTGTGATACAAGCAGAGGCTTAATCAGCTGAACCACAATGCTGGTCAGATTGCATGTCTTAGCCAATACAAAAAAAGGGAAAAAACATTAAAGCATAAAATTGACAAAGGAAGTGTAAAGTTATCCATTTATAGATTATTTATGTAAGAGATCTATAATACAAATACTAAAAGTAATTAGTAAATTTAGCAAAGTTTTGGAATGACAGGTTAATATTCAAAAAACAATAATATTTTACATATTAGTAAGAAACATAGAAAATGATATTGAAAACATAGCAATTCCATTTACAAAAACATTGGCATATATAAATGTTTGGAAAAATACTTTGACAAAAACTTTGTGAAAGACTTCGACAAAAATTAATAAAATATAGTTGAGATAAAATAAGGAAGGCATTAATATGTGAAGTTATACCACATACTCATGGCTCTGAATCAATGGTGTTGTCAATTCTCTCTAAATTAATGTATAGATTCAACAAAAATCTCAAGTAAAACCCCAGAAGTTTATTTATAGGAAGTAACAAGTTGATCCCAAGTTCACATGGAAATGAGAATCTATAGTAATCTTTAGAAAAGAGAATAAAGTTGAAAACTTTAATTCTTATTCAAGATTTAGTCCGTACTCAAAAATATGTGGTTTCTCCATTAGAAACAAAAATAGATCACTGCAATAGAATAGAAAGCTTGTAAAGGAAATAAATCCACACTTTTATAACCCTTTATTTTCACCAAAGACACCAAAGGGATCCAATGGGACAAAGAAAAGCTTTTCAGCAAAGGAAGCTAAAATAACTTAACATTAACATAAAAATGATTAACTTTTACCTCATTTCAAAAATAATAATTATTATATGAGTCTAAGACTTAATATTAAAAAGTGAAAAGATATAATTTTTAGAAGAAAGCTGCATAAAAATTCTTTCTGTGATTTGGAGGTAAGCAAATATTTTTAGACAGATCACAGAGAAGAATAACTATAAAGGAAAAAGGTAACAAATGAAGATTCTTTAAAATATAAAATTTCTGCTTATCAAAAAGACACAATTAAATATATTAATAGGCAAGTCACAACATAGGAAAAAGCATTCACAAACTATGTACCTGATAAAGGAATAGTATACAGGATATATAAATAAATTCTAGAATTCAATATTTAAATAATTTTAAAGAAATCCAGAAAATAAAATGAACAAAATGTTCAAATATACACTTGAAATTATACATTATATGAATGGTCAATGATCACATCATTAGTCATTGGGGAAATGCAGATTAAAGACACAAGTTACTACTAGCTTTGGTTACAATGACTGATATCACCAATTGTTTATGATGTGGAAAAACTTGAATTCTCTTGCAATGTTAGTAGAAATATAAAATGGTTTTGTCAGATTGAAAATGAGTCTGGGAGTTTCTTCTACACTTATGTCTACAGTATGGCACATTCATTTTGCTTTTAGGTGTTTCCCTGTAGAAATGCAAGTATATGTTCTCATAAACAATTGTACAAGGATTTTTCATGACAGATTTGTTCATAATAGCCAAATGATAGAAACTTCAAAGGTGTGCTTCAGTGATGGGTTGCTTATACTGTTGAATACTACTCTGTAATAAAAGACACACAATTCTAACAGAAATAAGCTTTATGGAACATTATGTACTATATGATTCCATTTATATGATCTTATAGAACAGGCAAAATTAATTCGTACTTAAAAATAATAATAATGATAATCTTAAGAATGAGAACAGAAGATTTATGTCATAGGGATATGAGGGAAAATTAGAGGTACTAGTAATTTCCTGTATTTTGAGTGTGGCTGGATCAACAAATATACATAGAAAGAATTGT